CCACAAAGGTGAGATCAGGCAGAGCTGGGGGGTGGCACGGTCAGCCCGCTCCCCACCCTGCCCCGGTCAGAAATAATCTGCTTGTCTGTGTTCTCAGATTCTTTGTGCCTGTATCTTCTTTCCAAATGCCACTTACAAATGGTGTTCTGGATTTGTAGGTCAAAGCTGGTTCTGTGAAACAGGAGTTTGAGAAGCAGGATGAACTGAAGCGATCCGCCATGCGAGCGGTAGCTGCTCTCCTGACCATCCCTGAAGTAGAGAAGAGTCCAGTGATGGCTGAGTTCTCATCTCAGATCAGATCCAACCCTGAAATGGCGTCACTTTTTGAGAGCATTCAGAAAGATTCTGCTTCCCTCTCCACCTCAGAGTCGATGGACATGAGCTAAGATCTGCCCGTTCCTGCCCCCACCTTCCTGCCCTTGCGATGCGTTGACCGAACAGATGCCACAGAGGGGCCCAGAAAACGCCATCGAGCTGGTCTCTGCTGCGACAGCGTCACTGGGTGCCCACAGCAGAAAAGAGCTCGTTCCAGCTGCGCTTGCTGAACCCCAACGAGATGTGTGAGACCCGGGAAATGTGTCCTTGCACGGGGGCGGGGTGGAAGACGAGTATCCTGATTTTCCAGCAAGTTTTTTAAGGGGCGTACAGAGCAATCGAAATTGAATGTAGTTCCATGAAAAATGGAAACTACTTCCTCCAAGTATTTCTTTACTGCAGTACAAAGAAAAATAGTTTAATTTTTAACTACTGCACATGCACTTTCTACCCCAGATTGCCTGAAGAATGTATTTGTATTGTTTCACTAAATAACCCAGCTAAAAACTGGAAGTCAGGTCTGTAATTAGCGATGAGCATTGTACCCACAGGCCCTGTTTCAAAGAGGAGCGTTACCTCAGCAAAGCTGCAGCAGCTGTGCTGGGGTGGCGCATGGCCCAGGCTCCTCGGGCTTTACCCCGGGGCTCCATCCACAGAACAGGCACCAGCAGTTCCCACTTCTGTGGCGTTTGGGCCATACAAACCATCCTGCCTGACTTCTGGTTTTATGGCTTTGACTGCAAAATACCTCAACCAGCCGTCTTCCAAAAGAGATGATCCATGACTTGATTGTGTTACAGGAACAACCTCTGCTCTGAGCTTTTCACTGCATTACACACAGGCTGGTCCTTCCCCCTGGGAGCAGCTGGTGTCTCTGTTGAGTGACCAGCCCCAGAGGCAGCGATCTGCACTCGGCGCTGGTCACTGAACAGCAGCAGGTGCTCGAAGGAAAGCTGCTCTTCAGAACCCGAGTGTCACACAAGTAAGAGGTGAGTCACCAGCCACAGGCGACAGCCCCACATTAACCCCTCTGTCATTTGAAAACTTACGTATAGTGGCTGTTGTGCTCAAATCCTGCTTTGCTAGGGGAAAAAAGCCTTAAGGGACAGAGAGGATGTAAGAGCAACTTAGAGAACAAGGCCACCGTGACCCTCTTCTTGTAGCCATGGAGCTGCCATAAGCTTTTCTCCTTTTTTGACTGAGTGGCTGATGTGAAAAATATTTATAGTGCTGTGTGAAAGAACACCCGTTCTGTTTGAGTGGTATAAAAAATAAACACGTACTTGTGAAGCTGCAGTACTCCTGAATCCACCGGCTGTCACACTGACATGGCAAATCACACCCACGTGCAGGAACAGGCTGCTCTCTGACAGCCAGGCTGGGGCAGTGGATGCACCAGACCCACACCACTGCTGAGCCCCAGCAGCGAGCGGCTGCCCCAGCTGCACAGGCACCGAGCCAGAGTCTGTCCCCTGGGCCATTAAAACACCCACCCGAGCTGGTTTTTACATTTTATTAAATACACGTCGGGTGCAGACGCCAGTTTACTCGTTCTCCTCGCTGCGCAGCCTGGCGTTGGGATTGGTGATCTTGATGGCGAGCTGAGCCGCTCTCTCCACGATGATCTTCCGGTTCTTGGAAGACACGTTGTGAGCGATCTCGGCACAGTAGGACCTGTCAGAACCAGCCGGCTCGTTAGGCGCGGCCCCGGCAGCAGCCAAGGCAAAGCACCCCGAGCGTCACCCCACAGAAAACCAACCCGGTGCTTCCCATCGCCCCACCAGCCCATTCCGGCCTGAGGCGGAGCTCACCTCCAGACCAGCTCCACCCTTCCGCCTGTGTTCTTCTGAACTAAGAGGCACTAAGAGGCAGTTTGTAATGGTGTTAATTACTAATTAACTCTTCCTACTCTGTGCTGAAAGTGCTACACGTAGATCAGGCCCATGTCTGAACGGTTCTGATCGCGGTGTCATCGAAGCCGCGCAGTCCAGCGCTGCTCACTGCAGTAACACCG